ACGCACACAGAAGACCCCAGCCTCACCCCACGCTGCAGGACCACCCCAACTCCACACACCCACCCACCCCCCATCCCCCCGCTGGGGGCTGTGGGTGCAGGACAGGGGACTGTGGGTGCAGGATAGGCAGCTATGGGTGCAGGATTGAGGGCTATGGGTGCAGGACAGGGGGCTGTGGGTGAAGGAGGGAGAGCTGTGGGTATGGAATGGGTGCCTGTGGGTGCAGGATAGACAGCTGTAGGTGCAGGATGGGGGGTGTGGGTGCAGGATGGGGCTGTGGGTGCAGGACAGGGGTCTGTGGGTGCAGGATTGGGGGCTATGGGTGCAGGATAGGCAGCTGTGAGTGCAGGACAGGCAGCTGTGGGTGCAGGACAGGGTGCTATGGGTACAGGATGGGCGTCTGTGGGTGCAGGCTGGGGCTGTGGGTGCAGGATTGAGGGCTATGGGTGCAGTACAGGGGCTATGGGTGCAGGATAGGGGGCTACGGGTGCAGAATTGGGGGCTGTGGTTGCAGGAGAGAGAAGTGTGGGTGCAGAACAGGGGTCTGCACATGCAGGACAGGGTGCTCTGGGTGCAGGAGGGAGAGCTGTGGGTGCAGGCTGGGGCTGTGGGTGCAGGCCGGGGCTGTACATGCAGGAATGGGGGGCTGTGGGTGCAGGACAGGGCTGTGGGTGCAGGAGGGGAGCTGTGGATGCAGGATGGGGGACTGTCCATGCAGGACAAGGGTCTGTAGGTGCAGGATTGGGCGCTCTGGGTGCAGGAAGGAGAGCTGTGGGTGCAGGCCAGGGCTGTACTTGCAGGATGGGGGGCTGTAGGTGCAGGATTGGGGGCTCTGGGTGCAGTACAGGGGCTGTGGGTGAAGGAGGAAGAGCTGTAGGTGCAGGATGGGGCTGTAGGTGCAGAATGAGGTGCTACACGTGCAGAAGAGGGGACTGTGGGTGCAGAACAGGGGTCTGTAGATGCAGGACAGGGTTCTATAGGCACAGAACGGGTCTGTAGGTGCAGGACATGCTCTGTAGGTGCAGGGCAGGGTTCTCTGGGTGCAGGATTGGGGGCTGTGGGTGCAGAACAGGCTCTGTAGGTGCAGGAGGGAGAACTGTGGGTGCAGGGCAGGAGTCTGTAGGTGCAGGGCAGGGGTCTGTAGGTGCAGAACAGGGTTCTATGGGTGCAGAAGAGGGGGCTGTGGGTGCAGGACAGGGATCTGTTGGTGCAGGAGGGAGAACTGTGGGTGCAGGACAGGGGTCTGTGGGTGCAGGGCAGGGGTCTGTAGGTGCAGAACAGGGTTCTGTGGGTGCAGAAAAGGGGGCTGTGGGTGCAGAACAGGCTCTGTAGGTGCAGAAGGGAGAACTGTGGGTGCAGGACAGGGGTCTGTGGGTGCAGAACAGGCTCTGTAGGTGCAGAATGGGGTGCTGCACGTGCAGAAGAGGGGGCTGTAGGTGCAGAAGGGAGAACTGTGGGTGCAGAACAGGGGTCTGTAGGTACAGAACAGGCTCTGTAGGTGCAGAGCCGGGGTGGGCACAGCGGGCACGCTGCCACAGCCTGGCGGGAGCGCGGTGCCCGGCTGTCAGCTCCCATTTGCTCCGACACGGATCCATCCGTGTCCCGGCCGGCGCGCGACGCTTCGCCGCGTGTCGCGGAGCGATAACTCAACCGCATTTGCAAAACAACTTTCCTCTTGTTTATTCCATAATGATCCATTGATTGTGGGTAATGTTGCATGCCCTGTGCCGCAGCGGGCGCGGAGCACTCCCCTGGCACGCGGCAGGGGCTCCGGCAGGCGCCGCCGCGGCAACCCGAGAGCGGCCGCGGCTCCCGCTGCCGCGGCGTCCCACGGGCCCGGGCCGTGGGGCTGCGTGCCCCACATGCCACCCACATGCCAGCCTCTCTCCCCACGCCCTCGCTCCCAGGGAGGCTGCTTTGCTCTCATCCTCCCTGTTGTGGCCAGGCCTGACATCATCCCTAATGACAGTGCCAGGCCTCTGTTCCCGGGATGCCGGCGCTGCCGTGGCTTGTACGGGGCAGCGCCTCCTGGGAACAGCGCTGGGATCCCAGAGCTGGAGCGTGGCACGTGCAGGCCACGGGGATGGGTGCAGCACCAATCCCATGGTCCTGGCACCACGCTGGTACTGCCCGCTCCGCGTCAGGGACAGACTGTGCCTGGGGAAACTAAGGCAGGGAGCGCTGATGGAAGGAGGGCTGGGCAGCCCCTGGTGCTTGAGCCTTGTGCTGGGCCTGCCAGGGGCATAATGAGCCTCCTGGGAGACCACGCTGGATCCATCCTGTGGTACCCAACCCCGTTGGCCAAGGGGCTCCCCTGTCCCGTGTGCCATGGCCCCAGCCTAGGACCAGGCCACCAGGTCACAGGGAAGGGAGGCCACATGGACACGCCGAGACCCAGTGCCACCACCATGCCTGGCCCAGAGCACTGCTGGAGGACCAGGACTGGAAAGACAAACCCATATCCCCTGCTTGGGACAGTCTGAGACAAAAAATGGGGCTAGAAATGCCCCATTACCTCCCTCCCGGGGCGCTGGGTAGGGTGGTTGCCCACCCACAGTGGCACTGGGGGTGCCAGTGCACATGGTGCACATGGTGCGCATGGTCATGGCCATGGCCATGGCACCTGGGAGCAGGTGCCAATGGGCTGGGACGGGTGCCCATGACGGAGGGACAAAGGTGAAGCCATTTCAGGCTGTAAACATCGCTGCTGCTCCGTGTGGGGCAGGCAGGGTCGGCCAGAGGGCACCGAACTCGTGACAGTGTTTGTGGTTCCTTGGCTGGGGACACCCGGGAGTGCCCCGGCCCCTGGCCGAGCTGACGTCACCCATGCAAGGCTGGGGGAGGAAGAGGAGCCGTCCAGTTTGTGGCCGGGAGCGAAGGCCACGGTGACGCAGTGCCAGCTGCGTGCGGCCCGGCAGGTAGGCATGGCAGGTAGGCATGGCCTGACGCCAGCCTGGTGGGAGCAGAGCTGTCCAGCTGTGCCAGGACCTCATCCCCTTGGCCAGAGAGCCCACACCGGGCAGGGGAGCTGCCCCAAGGTGAGGCAGAGCCTCGTGCCACACAGCTGCTCCTGGCACACATCCCCCTGCCTGGATCTGCTTGCCGAGGCTGTGAAACCCCAAAGCACTCAAGGGGCACCCAAACATCAGCACTGGGGTCCCAGCAATGGTCCCCCACTTGATTTGGGGCAGCTGGGCTTGGGTATCCCCTCTGCCAGCACCCCAGAAGTCTCCTGGTGGGTCTAGGCTGTCCCACTATGCTCAGCCCTGGAGCTCGGAGCAGACCCGAGCCAGGTGCCCACCGAGCCTTCGCTGGTGCCACGCACGCACGAGAAGCGGTGCCAGGGTCGAGGCAAGTGGCAGGAGGGATCCTGCAGGCAGAGCTCTCTGTGCCAGGGCGATGATTCCAGCCTCACACCCCCCCAGGGCACTGGCCACCCAAGCTGTGCCAGGCTCACCGCGCCACATGCCACCAGCGTGGCACCACAGCGGGCCAGGCGCTTTGGCCAGTCCCCGGCAATCAGCACCGGGCTGGATATGGCCCTTGGCAATGGCAGCGGCGCTGCCCCACCCGCGCCGTGCCCACCCTGCCCCGGGCCAGCAGACAGCTGCCGGTGGCACCTCAGGTCCCCATGGCAGGAGCAGAGCCCCACGTCGGGCCAGGCCTGCGGAGCGCGGGGGGGATGCGGGAACCCGGCGCCTGCTGGGAGGGCTCCCAGGACCCGTCTGACGGGTTCCTCGACTCTTTCTGCACCCGGACAAGCCCGGGCCGGCGGGACACCCAGCCACCGCCCAGCAGCACCCGCTGGGTGGGGGAGAGTGGCTGCCCCGCTCTCTGCGGCTGTGAGGACCCCCTTCCCCAGGAACCCACACCGGCAGCGGGACCCTCGCAGCCCCTCATCCCTTGCCGCCCTGTGGGGACAGTGGCTGCCCCTTCCCGGGGGGCACCGGGTCCCCGCAGAGCGCAGGGTGAGGAGCCCACGACTGCTCCACCGTGTCTGTGGGGGTTGTGGGGGTCCCCTTTAGATGGAATGCCACCCCCAGGCATAATCCAGCCGCCGCATCCTCTTGGTTGGAGGCGGTGGGGGGGCGATGACGGCGTCCCCCGGCCCGCAGCGAGTGCCAGATCCCCCCGGAACAGGCAGGAGCCGGCATGCCCGGCAGAGCCAGACGCGCCGCAGGGGCGATGCCGCAGTTCCCATGGGCTTGCCAGCAGCCCATGTCTGCTCATTCTGTGCAGCTGGCGAGGATGGCAAGGAAGGCTCCCCTGCTCCCAAATGCCACCCCAGCGCCCCCAGGGCTGCGTGCCAAGGACCCCCGCGCTGCCCTTACCTTCAAGCGCTCCGATGTCCAGGCCACGTTCCTGTGGGAAGCACTGCGTCCCCCTTCCAGCGGTCCCGAGCCCGTGGCTGGAGCTGTTGTGCCCGGCAAGGCGGGTGGCACGGTGGGGTCAGCCCTCTCCTGAACGCCTGGCCGAGCCGGAGCCCCCCTGGGACCCCTCCGAGGGCTGGAAGTGCTGCACGCCACGGTGACAGGGATCCCTTTTTTTATCCTTTTATTATTTTTTTTTATAGACTAAGAGCAGAATATGAAAATCACCAGCCAAAGCACTTGAAAAAAAGATCGAGAATGGTTTTTTTTTGTTGTTTTTTGTTTTTTTTTTCGTTTGTTTTGTTTTGTTTTTCCCCAAAAAGTGTCTGTGCGTTTGCATAGGTCGGGTCTTCACGGAAGACGAGGAAAATCCAACACGTTCGACTATGTACAAGCCAGCCCGGGGCCGGCGCCGCTGCCTATGGTACAGTATAGATATATCTCTGTACAGTATGTATAGATCTATATGGGTATGTACAGACTGCCCGGCCCCGGGGGTCCCTGCTCTCATCGGGCTCGGCGCTGCCCCCCTAGCCACGGGGCAGCCCCGGGGCACCGGGAGGGTGCGGGCAGGACCCCGCGCTCCCGGGGACGGCTCCCGGCGGCGGTGGCCGCGGCCGCGGGCGGGATGGGAGGCGAGTCCGGCCGGGTCGGTGCGTGCCGCGATCCCAGCTCCGCGGGCGGCTCTCCGGGCAGGGGCTGGCGGGCTCGCGGTGCTTCCCCGCTGGCTCTCACGAGGGGCAGCAGGTCCAGGGGGCCGCGCTCGGCGGAGCGGCGCTGGCCGGGCCCCCGTGGGCGCCGGGAGCTACGAGGCCAGCAGAGTCATGAGGAAGAGCGCGGCGGCCACGGCCAGGGGCAAGTGTTCCCGCTTGGGGCTGGTGCCGCTGATGCTCTTCTCCAGCTTCGGCATCTCCGGGTTGAAGTTTTCTGTGGGGAGGAGCGAGAGGATGAGGAGGGCAGCAGGGTGGCCCTGAACCCCCACCCCCGTTAGCTGGGGCTGCCCCAGGGGCGGCGGCGGGGACGGGGACACGGCGCTGCGGGGCCGGGGGCTGCGCCTCCTCACTCACCCAGGTCCTCGATCTTCACCTCGGGCCGCAGGGTGAACTGGGGCAGGGTGGGCGCCAGCTTCTCCCCGGAGTGCGACGCTGTGGAGGGAGAGAGGGGACGGGGGTCACGCTCCCTGGATGCCCCCGCAGCCCCCACGCAGCCCCCTCCCCTCAGGAGGGACGGGGCACCCACCGGCCGGCCTCGCCGCCCCCGGGATGGGCACGGGGGTACTTACTGGAGGCGCAGCAGACAAACACCTTCATCTTCAGGCAGGCCCGGTGGTGGTTGTGTGTCGGCGTGGCTGCAAGGCAAGAGCGTGCTGAGAGGGGCTCCGTGGCAGGGATCCCAACCCCAGGCACCCCGAGGCTCGGTGGGGCTGGACAGAGAGAGGGGTCTGGTACTGCCCAGGGGCGCGCTCTGGGCTGGGGGAATGCAGCAGCACCCCAAATCCTGCACCGATGCCCTGTACCAGCACCCCATCAGCTCCAGCATCCCAAGTTGGCACCAGCATCTGGCACCAACGCTGAAATCCTGCAGCAGCAGCCCCTGAACCCTGATCCTGCATCAGCATCCTGCACCCTACATCACCATCCCCCAGCACCCCATCACGCACTGGCACCCCCATCCACAGCCCCAACCTTCTTCCCATCTTTTCCCACACCCCTATCTGTTCCCTGCATCATGCAAAATCCCCTCCCCTCCACCCCCTTGCTCCTTCAACCTCTCCCAGAGCTCCAGGTTCCCAGTCTTAGAGGGGAAACAGCTGCCCAATTTGGGGGGTGCAGGGGAACCAGCCAAAGGGGACGCAGAGGGGCCCAACTGGGGTGGGACCTGAGGGGATCCAACTGGGGTGGGACCTCAGGGGACCCAACTGGGGTGGGACCTGAGGGGATCCAACTGGGGTGGGACCTCAGGGGACCCAACTGGGGTGGGACCTCAGGGGGGGCTTGGGGGCTGTGTGGGGGTCCCGCCCCGGCGCCCCACGTACATATGTAGTAGTACTCCTGCCCCGCACGGAACTCGTAGCCCAGTGAGAAGGCGCTGTAGCGCTGGAACTTCTCCGAGAACTTGATGGGGCTGTGGGGCGCGTGGGGCCGGTTGCACTCCCAGCGCTTGAAGCCCTGGCTGGTGTTGCAGGTGCGGTACCCCTCCGCGTTCACCATGTAGAGCACGTACTGCTCCAGCCGGTGCTCGGGCACCGAGGCGTTGTAGTGCGGGCAGTAGATGTCCAAGTAGTCGTTGACGTTCACCTGCACCGTGTAGCCCTCCCGCCGCAGGCTGCGAGGGAAAGAAGGGGTGGGAGGTCACGGACACGCCCTGCACTTCTCCAAACAGCGCTCTCCAAGGGGAGCCAGAGGCTGGATGAGGCTGCAGCGAGGGTTGGAACTCTTGGAGCAGTGATACCCCCTGCTCCACCCCTGTGTGGGACCCCTGCATGGGCTTAGCCCCACGAATGGAGCAGAATCCCCATCCTGGAGGGCACGGGTGGAGCTGGAGCAGGTGGGGGACAGGCGCTGCTGGGGACAAGCGTCAAGCCGCACGCAGAGGTGGGACGGGCAAGAGCACAGACAGCCTCAAAGATGGACAGACAGACCCAGAAGGGCATCGGCGTCCCACAGGCACCGGGGTCTCCACGGGGCGCGGTCCGTGGGTGCGCGGGGGACCTCGGAATTCCCTGGAATTCCCTGGAATTCCCTGGCATTCCCCATTTCCAGCAGCCTGGAGCCGACCCACCGCTGCCGCCCACCACGGCCCTGGCACGCGTCGCAGCTCGGAGCCAGGATTTCTCACCCTGCTCCGGCTAATCCCGTTAGTTCGTTAATGCCGTAAAGGGTGGCCCTGGGGGAGCCTCATTTACATTGATTAGGAGCAAGCAATCCCCTCAGATCCACTCAGGAGAGGCTCGGCTGGCTCCTAATCCGCGCCCGACGGAAATCCCGGCCGCGGTAATCCTCGCCGCCGCTCTGACCCGCTGCTCCTGCCAATTCATTACCAGCCGGCGCTGGCTCGGCACCGAGCCGCCGCGGCGGCACCGGACCCCGACCGGACCGCGCTGCCCCGCTGCTGGCCCGCATCCCGCGGGACACGGCCAGCAGCATCCCGGCACGCGTGCTCCCGGTTCTGCACCTTTTCCCACCTCTCAGGGCAAACCCCCGAGCGTGAGCCCCCCAAAGCATCACTCCGCGTCCCCTCGGCTTGCT